GGGTGTGTACACATCATTTTCTTATTCTAAATATATATTCAACCATGTGTTTTTATGTGATTTCCTTATTAAAAAATATATATTATAATTTTACGTGATATTACAAATTTATAATTATAATGTGTTATATTAAATAATTAATTTTTTTTATAATTTACTTATGATATTATATATACTTATTTTTTTAATAACATATGATTATTATAAATTTATAATCATATGTGATATAATATTTTAAATATATTATTGTCAAAATAAAAAAATCAATACGTTGCAATTGTCATCTTTAACTTATTAATTTTTATAGATTATATATTGAATAATAATTAAAAAATATTCAGAAATAAGATTTTTCTAATTCTTATTTGGTAGTTTTACTTCTTTATTAAGACTAATGGGTAGTTGGCTAGTCCAATAACGTAAAGAGTTTGACTTTGATCAAATTAAGAAAGTAAATTTAATTCGCTGCGCGAAAAAGGATATTTAATGAATCTTAATTTGTTATTAAAAAAATAAATAAAAAACTAGCCTAATAGGCAAGTTCAACAGAAGAAAGTGAGTTACCTCTATTGCCTATTTTCAAAAAAAGAAAAGAAAAAGTGAGATACCGAGAATACGTACAAGTCTAACAATTAACTTTCATAAGTTTTTCCTACCCATAATCTCTGTTATTTTGTCATTTTCTTTGCTTGTTGTTCTTCAATTTCGAGAGGCTCTGCTGCAAAAGACAAATGGCAAGTTTGCTGAGGACAATCTTCGGTATTTTCATTAAAAATATATATTTTTTTGTTGCCGTATGTCTTTAAGACAATGTCTTGTAGTGGAGCTGTAGAGCTCACTGACATTGAGGAAATTTGACACAGAAATGGAGATGAATGTTAGAAAGGCTAGAAGTCTACAAATTAGAGAACGTCTAATTGTTACCTCCTTGTTTCTCTATTCTTTTTTGTGTGTGTGCGCGCGCGCGCGCGGGTTTGGTTGGGAGTAATTTTCTTGCTAAACTATTCTAAATTTTTTTAAAGGGTTATTTATGTATTTTTATATATTAATTTTACTATAATAAAAAGAGTAAAAGTGATATTTTCAACCTTTATTCTTCTAACACAATTCTTAATCCCAAAATTTTTTTTACCTATTTTGAAAGAAAAAAATTTTTCTATAAATTTTCCTAAATTAGACTCACTTAATAACTTTTCTTATTAATTTTTACTAAATCAATTTCTTACTAAACACAACAAAATTAATAATATAACAATATTCAACAAAACTCTATTACAAAATTTAGTAATTTTTTGTATAATGTTTTTTTAACAAATTTTTTAGTAAAAGCTTTAATAAAATGATTCTTCAACCAAACAGAGCTTTAATAATTTCATCTAACTCATGCCTTTAGAGCACAAGTGTAGATATAATAAATGTATATTTTTATAATTAATTTATATAAAAAATTATAAAAATTGACTTTTATTTTAATACCATCA